CAGGAGCTTTTTATAAAAATTTAGGATTTTATGAAATAAAAAGGGAATTCGTGGGGGGAAGGGGGTTTAGATGATTTTGAAGAAAAATTGTACTTTTTTCTTTGCCGCTTCATCTAAAATCCTATGAAATGATTTTTTGTCGCATTGTTTACTACTTGGTGACTTCTAGACTGCAATCCAGTTGTGCAGTTGTGTTTCCTATATCTAACGCATCCCATCATTCCAATACTACTTGGAAACATCTGCCAATTATTCTATCGTCTCCCGTTCCATACGAGTATTTCAAGCAGCGCAGTTGTTCAACGCATGAGTTGTCAAGATAACGAGGCCAGTTGCTGCAGATGTTAATCAGAGCTGTGCCGTTCTTCAATCCAGTCATTGAAGGATGTCTGGTGTCAAGACCGAAAATCGCTCTTGTACAACCATCATCTGCTGCCACTGAGAGGGTGTTTTCGTTGCTGGTAACAATATTTGGTGACCAATAGCAAGACACATTGTATCGAGTCAGCCCTCATTCTTCGAGTACACAATCGTTGAGAATCGTCACGTTATTACGGTGTTAGCTTTACCTTATCAAACACTTCAAGCCAGGAGTCTAGGACTCTGTGATTACTCGCACACTCTATACGAGAACTCTAGTGCATTGCCTCTTTTTTGTCCCGTTATTATCACGGACTATGATATATAAGCACAACACGTTCGTGAGTCTCAGTTTGCAAGCTTTTACTTTTACAGACGAGTTAGCAGTTTTGCAATCCTTGCATAAGATGCAACATTGTTTAATAAGAGCGCTGTCTAGCGTAAAAAACTTTTTTAAAGGGAGAACTAAGGTTTCCTTTAAAAAAATTGTAAGATAAATGCAAATTTTTATAAAATGTTAGGATATTTAGGGACTTTTAGAAATTTGTTGGGATATTCAGGGACTTTTGGAGGGAAAAAATGGGAATTCCGCAAAGTTATTTTTAGAGCATTTTTCGGGATATATCAGTGTCTAGGCCTACCTTTAGGATAGTAATTCCCTTAAGAAATATAGTTTTACTCGCCTTGAGGTAAACAAATGTTGATTTCCACCGATGCCAAGGAAGGAAATTGTCAAAACCGCAATTTCTTCCCAACATTAAATTACTTGATTTGCCATACATGCCAAGTATGATATGTTTGATTTTTTCGCAGCCTGCAAAGTTCAAGCCGTCAAAAGATGTAGCTTTACGTCAGGTTAGTCTGAAGCAAGTGATTATGAAATTGAAACTGTGAATCCAGACTTCTCCATACGTGCTTTGAGGAGCCGACACCTGAAGGCTTTGGAAACTCACTTACATTCTTTAGAATGAGTTTCTACAAATCTTTTTATAACGATGTAGATGGGTCACCTATTCTTAAGGTTACTTCTCATCTTTAGAGGCCGAAAAACTCGTTTTTTCTTTTATATGACAAGCTCGAAGTTAGACATTTTACCTGGCGTTTACAAAAGGAAAAAAAATTAAAATCTCAAAAAGCGTCTGCTCATTTATCAACAACAACAACAAGAGCATTTATTTATGTGGTCGTGTAAAAACAATAAAACCAAATTCCTAACTATTTACAAGAAGACTAATGTAAGATTTCTACATATTTACAACAATAAAAACTCTACATAGTACATCATTATTATATACGTGGCTCAAAAATACACTTGAGTGACTTTTTAAAAGCGTCAACGTCTTGAATTTATCTCATTTGATTTTCCAGAGCGTTCCACCGAGTAATTGACTTTTATGAGCATGATTCCTTGACCATGTCGGTCTTAGGTCTAGGTAACTTAAATGTCATTTTCCTCCTGAGGTCGTAACTACTTACATACTTCTCAAAGCGACGGTTCATAGGACATGGTAAAAGATTATCCTAAAATAAAATAAAATAATCAAATAATTAAATAAAAGTCAATCAGGAAGGCGTCATATGCTCGTAAATAGGCAAAACCCTTAGGGGAATATCCGCGGCAATTTCACTTTAGTTGCATATTTTATTTTCATCGTGCACTTGACAAAATTCACACGTGGAAGTTCTCTTCTAGTGGAAAGTCTTTTTTCGGGGATAAAAGACATAAGAGATATGGCACCATTTTTTCGGGGAAAAAAAAAACAGTCCTGGAACTCCTCTCCTCGCTGGCATCCAAACTGCGAAGAAAGAAGTCGCCATCAAATCTACATTTCTTGTACATAAGGTTAAAAACGAAGTTTTCCTTCAATAGGCAAGTACCGGCATTGTTTCGTATGAAATCATGAATAAACTACCCGAGGGAACTCATTTCCGCGATAAGGGTATTCGTTAAGCTGTCTGTCGATCCGCTGTTTTTGCTTTTCAGCTGTTTCTCCACTTTGACTATTTGCCGCGGGTTTTAGCTCTGCCAAATTTGCCCATTACTCAACGTTCAACAAAGCGAGATAAAAAAACGTGAATGCTATTCGATACTTTTCCCGGGAAAATCTTGATCCATTGTCATTGACGCCAGGAGGTCCCGTCTAGGCTTAGCCACAAGTTGCTCGGCAACTTTTCGGCAACTTTTGAGATTTTCGGCAACTTTCGAGATTTTCGGCAACTTTTTAGAATTTTGGCAACTTTTAGAATTTTCGGCAACTTTGAGCTTTTTGAGGTGCTTTGACGCCACTTTCTTCACATTTTGAGCCACATTGGTCAGTTTTCGATAGACATTTATTCAATTTATTCTAAAATACAATAATTAGTGCCCCCCATGAGTTGATTTTTGTGATGCCTTATCACGAGGTCAGCGGTATCAAGTTGCACGTTTTTCAAGATGGCCGACAATTACAGTGATTCCAATACATCGTGGCAACACGTCACATGAAAACTGTATTATGTGTGTATATAACCATGTTTTTTTCATGTCATTCTGATAGACTATTTGTTGATCAAGTGAAATGGAAAGAACCTCTGATATTATCATTGGACTTTGACAAATAAAGTTTTGATAAGAAGCAATGTGCGAATTTTTAATCTTTAACACCCAAAAAAGGTACGAAAAGCAGAAAAATTTTGGCAACTTTTCGGCAACTTTTTGGAAATTCAGCAACTTTTCGGCAACTTTTTGGCAACTTTTAGACACTTTTATCTGCAACTTTTTTGGGATTCATCGGCAACTTGTGGCTAGGCCTAGTACCATCTCCTCATTGGTTTGCGGTTTCAGGAAGCGAGATAATCTCCTTGTGTGGCACTACTTGTTTACAAACCTTTACAAGCTAAAATCTCGCATGTGATTTTGAGAGGAATACATCCACTATAAGCGAATTTATAGGGTATGTAGATTTGACCGATTTTCGTAAAATTTTGCCAAAACATTCCAAGGATAATGACGTACGAAAGTGTGTCAGAAAATTCTGATATAAGACGTAAAGCCGTAGGTCCCGCCTCCCGCAGGGTCAGGGGCAGGAGACGTAGAATTTACCATGCACGAGATTACTGTGTAGTGGATGTCCTCCCCGGGGTGGGATGGGCAGGAAGGTGAGATCGCTACATGGACTGAAGCGGCTGCCAGAGGCGCCTGATAAAAATGCTGACGACCGATCTCAACCTTACGATACTGGTAAGCTCGACTGAATATATCAACATAGAAGTCTGCGCTATATAAATGTATAAAATGTAACGGTAATGTAATGAGGTGACCATTTACGCAACATGTTTCGCATATTTTATGCTACCCTAACTTTAGATGCGGATATTTAGACAACCAATCAGAATATCGGAAAAGCTTGACACGCTTTTTGGCTTGTGAATAGGACTGTGCAGCTGTTTTGCTCGTGCTGCGGGATCCGATACCCGATAAATTCAATTGAAGAATCCGCGGTCGTTTCACGCCTTACCGGCTCCTGATACTCCCTTAATGAAAAAATTGCCTAAATTATATTTTTATCGTAAACTGCGTTTATTAAGCTTTCTTTTGATGGATAGTTTCTTAGGGTTTCCCTGAAACTAGCGCGTACGAATTTTTTCTCGAAGTACACCCACAAAGGTGGGAAGTAACCTTAATTAAGGGAGACACTTAGTTGATTATTAACCAGGAGATGAAAATGTCACGCATATCAGCGTAGAGAATTTGGAAAAAGTGAAGTTTGGAGCCTTGACCCCTCATCGTGTAAAATAGGTGATACAGGATGTAGTGTGCCATGGTTCGATGACAAGAGTTCAATGTTGCGCCGCTTAAGTAACTTTGGCAAGTTGTTGTTGTCCCTGCTGAGGTAGTTAGTTGTCGACTCTTGTAAAGCTTCTCCTGAAAATCCTCCAAATTAGCTCATGAATCGCACGTGTTTGAGGTTCCCTGTTGTAATTACAGACAAGTCCAGTTCCAAGCAAGTATTCGAAGGTTCTAAACATCTAATGCTTTAGGTACAGATAATCAGTTTATTTTCGAGGCAAATGTTTCTATTTCATTTTAATCGTTTTCTTCTTTGTATTTAAGATTTATAAGTCTCGTGCTCGTTGGTCCTAGCAAATAGCCTATTTCTCTCCTCTTTATACTCGCGGGCAATAGGAACCGGCTTACGGAGACATAATCTTTGTAAATAAAACCCCTCAGACAGCTGGTATGTCGGCTGATAATGTCGGCCGCTGAGATATTTTTTTCGAGATATTGGTGTTTGGCCGAGAAGCGAAGCTTTGAGTGAAAATGTGAAATTTTGAGGATAACCTCTCAGGCAAGGACATTATCAACCTACATACCAGGAAACCAGAAGGGGGTTCATTTGTTTTATCGCCTCATTAATTTTCGTTTAGTGCGTCGATAGCGTACTTTGTTGACTTTCGTGTACTTTCTGAAGCAGCAATTGAGATCAGCTTTTTAATTTCACTCTTACTAGACTCTTTAAAATGAGCGTGTTTTTCTTCCGTGTAAATTAAGTAGTAGAAGTTAAAAAGATGAAATCCTGAGCTGGCTTTTTTCCGCTGGCTTTGTTTCTTTTCCACGGAAATAATCGGAGATAAAATATCAACGTAGTGGAGACTATAGCATGATAACTGTCCGTACTCTTATCCGCGTGACGAAAAGTAAGCAATAGAATCACGTGAAAATTAATGGGTAGGCTATAAGTGGAAAAATGTTTTGCCCATTCATAAACAGTTTCATGCTTGATACGTTTTGAAGTGACATGTAACCTTATCTTTTCCCCCTTACATATCATGTAGACGTCAAAACACCGTCAACAGCAGCTGGTAGGGTGATATTTTATTGCTCTTGATGATATACAGATCATGGTATGCTCATTTAGTGTGAAAATGACTAATTAACAAATTAAAAGAGTGTATCGATGCTTTCTTGGATATTTTAACATTGTGGCTGATTGAATCGTTAATTTTTCTATCTAAGTCATTCCTTGCTTGGTTTTCTCTCAGGTTAACTGTTTTCTTCCTTTTACTTAGTCTATATCATCCTTCCGATCAAAACAAACCTTTGATCAATCCTTCCTCTCCTCTTCATAGTCGAGGGTAATAGAAACTGACGAAGATATATTGTCAGGAAACAGGTTCTACGCATTCGATATTAGTTTGATGCTTGATACTTTTTGAAGTGACATGCTACTTTTATTACCTTTTCTTTCTCGTACTTATAGACGTAAAAACACCGTCACCAACAGGTTAGTTGATATTTAATTTCTCTTGTATATATTGTCAGAAAACAGGTTATTAGATTAGATATATTGTCAGGAAACAGGTTCTGCGCATTCGATATTAGTTTGATGCTTGATACTTTTTGAAGTGACATGCTACTTTTATTACCTTTTCTTTCTCTTACTTATAGACATAAAAACGCCGTCACCAACAGGTTAGTTGATATTTAATTGCTCTTAGTTATATACATATGGTGGTACACTCGTTTAGCATGAAAAACTCTTATAAACAAGAGAGCATCCTTTCTTTCATGAATGTCATTGAGAACGTAAATGCTGGTCGTTTGAATCGTGCAAGGGAAACCTTTCTTGGTCTCCTTTCTATTCTGGTCAATTCCTCTCACATGAAAGTTTAAGTTTGGATCTTGAGACGCCGCTAAGCTGATCCGAAAACTAAAGGGAATTTTGAGAATGCCGTCAAAATTGGTAACAGGGGCCTGTTTAACAAATCGGAATGCAATACGTTGTTGTAGGCCTGCAAAATTACAGCACTACGAGGGGTCCTGCGACGACAGAGCCTTCATACATAAGGAAATATGCTAAGCTATTATGATGTAAATCAGAAAAGACCTTCATGTCTGTGTGAACTTTATTGTCTCAGGTAGAGCCGGGCAGAGAAATTATATTTCTGGTCAACTCATCCCGCACGAAAGTTTAAGTTTAGATCTTGAGACGCTTTAATCAAAATATCTTAACAGAAAGCATATGCTGAGTTAATTCGACAACTAAAGGACATTTTGAGAATGCCGTCAAAAACTCGTAACACGGGCCTGTTTGACATATCGGAATGCAATACTTTGTTTTAGGCCTGAAAAATGACAGCACTGCGAGGGGTCCTGCGACGACAGAGCCCTCATACCCAAGGGAAAATGGTAAGCCATTCTGATGTAAACTAAAAAAAACCCTTCATGACTGTGGTCGGTCTGTTCGAACGCAAAACCGTAGTTTGTTCGTGTCTTAATGGTGAGATTCTTTTTAATTAAGTTATCTTTTTTATCCCTTCAGATAACCGGACCACCATGATCCTTGCAGCTGGCTTTGTAACGTCGTGTGTGTCAGTTGTGGCTTTGGTATTAGCTTTTGTGTACTACCGCCGACATAAAAAACACAAACGCATTAAGCTTGTGAATCCTCTGACAGGTTTGTGATTAATATAGTGTTGATTTTTTGACAAAAGTTTTCTCGGGATTGACCCATGATTTAAACTCAGTTCAAGCAAGTGCTGCTGCAGAAGTCTCCATCGTGTTAACGTTTGGTTTTTATATCATCAAGTTCGATGTTTTTTTGTAACAAGGTCTTCTTAGAACTCAGTTTGAACTAGCAAATGATTCTCAACCCGTTAGAAGACAAATATGAGATTCGCATTAAGTTTAAAAAAAATAAGATTTTATCAAGCGACTTTAATGCGATTATTGAGTAAGTATCAGCATCCAATAATTCCCAATACAACAAGATGAAAACAATACCACTGGGAAATACCATTACCAAACCCACTGAGTTCCATCACCAGATATCGGGGGCATTTCGAGCCCATTACGAAATGTCAGCGGTATATCGTCTTACAAACAATTCAATATGCCAGCGGTGGAAGTGAAGTGAACACGTAACTTTTTATTTTCGTAAAACCCTACGAGAAACCCTACCCTCCCATAAAGCCAAAGGAGACGTCAAAACAAGGAAAATGGCGACCACGTTGTGCAGTTACTGGGACTTGTATCTTTCGTGTTCTTCCTTCCTAAAATTGGGTTATTTAAAAATGGCGTATTTGGCTTTTGAGCTCTGTGAAAATACGAAGAGTTTCCCGGCTCGAGGAAAATTTGTGGGCCAATATGTTCGACCGTTTACGAGCGATTTAGATGGGCAAACTTCTGCAGAATGAATATCGATCTACGCAGTTACAAATCTTCACACGGTTGTTCCCACGACAAAAGAATTGTAACACCTAGTCGAAGCAGATTTTAAGAGTTTGTATGGGAAAATGGAGTCTGAATTATGAGTTTACTTGTATACCTTGGGAAAAGGTACGCTTGAATTTTAGTATTTCTTTTTCGTAGCGATGGACGCTTTAACCGATGCAGGCTGCATTTCTAAGTACGTAGCGAAAGAATATCCCATTCTTAGACAACTGTTTTGAAAAAACAATCTTTCCCCATACATTTTCTTAGACTGTTTCGGCGCCATTTTGCTTGTAACACAAGAACCGCTTCCGCCATGTTGTCCCAAATTTCTGGCAATATTAACGTTCGGTTTTTCTTTTCGTATTTAGGCTTCCATCCCCTTCTAGAAAATTTTGAGCGTAACTTTCTGTAAGGGAGCCTCCATTATATAGGGCGGGGGGAGGGCTGGCAAAAATAATGGGGGGGGTCATGATAAATTCAGGAACTAAAATGGCGGGTCATTAGAAGGATTTGGGAATAATGTAGGGGGTCAAAAGCTTTTTTTTTGCTACATATCATCTGCAAAGGTGGGTTTAAGTTTGTGGAACATTTCTGCTACCCGGCATACAAGATATAGGGAACAATAGCTAACTTTTCATGCACTGGAAAGCTATTCTTTTTCAAGCTATAATAATTTTTATTTAAAAAACTCTCTAAGAATAACCAAATGAAAGATTGGGCCACTGAGCAATATGAGTATTTAAAAACTACATTGCAAGAAATCAGCCACATAATGGAAGATCTCAACGAAAAGCATGAGAGGCTTTTAATAGTCCAATCAAAGCTACAACACATGTTCAGAGGAATGAAAAGCAAAAACAACAACATAAGGAAAGTGAAAAGAACACAAAGAAAGCTGCAAAAAGGAAGGCCCAGAGGTTAAACAGAACAATACAAGATTTTATATCAAATTTGGTGGATTATGCAGGGGAACTTGATAATAGCATTTGTATAACAAGAGAGATGATACAAACGGAACAGTTACAGAAATTGAGGAGAGACTAACATAAGAATTCGCTGATTAAGCTTCTTGAAACTGTAAATTAGCAAAAAGATGCAAAGAATTGTATCCAAGTAAAGTTAGCAGAGTGGGCTTTTAGAGAAAAGGGAGAAATAGAAGAATCAGAAGAGGAGAAGGATGATGAAGAAGAAGACTGGGAGAAGGATGATGAAGAAGAAGACAGGGAGAAGGATGAAGAAGAAGAAGACAGAGAGAAGGATGATGAAGAAGACGACAGGCAGAAGGATGACGAAGAAGACAGGGAGAAGGATGATGAAGAAGAAGACAGAGAGAAGGATGATGAAGAAGAAGACTGGGAGAAGGATAATGAAGAAGAAGACAGGGAGAAGGATGAAGAAGAAGAAGGCGAGGAGAAGGATGATGAAGAAGAAGACAAAGAGTAGGATGAAGAAAAAGAAGACAAGGAGAAGAAAGATGATGAAGAAGACAAGGAGAAGGATGATGAAGAAGAAGAAGACAGGGAGAAGGATGATGAAGAAGAAGACAAGGAGAAGGATGATGAAGAAGATAACAAGGAGAAGGATGATGATGAAGAAGAAGAAGACAGGGAGAGGGATGAAGAAGAAGAAGAAGACAGAGAGGAGGATGATGAAGAAGAAGACAGGGGGAAAGATGATGAAGAAGGAGACAGGGAGAGGGATGATGAAGAAGATAGAGAGAAGGATGATGAAGAAGAAGAAGACTGGGAGAAGGACGAAGAACAAGAAGACAGAGAGAAGGATGAAAAAGAAGAAGACACGGAGAAGGATGATGAAGAAGAGGACAGGGAGAAGGATGATGAAGAAGATAGGGAGAAGGATGATGAAGTAAAGGAATTGGACACAGTACCATAATATCTCTTATATTATGTTACCCATTTTGCATCAACTTTAGATTTTAAACTCTAGAACTGTATTGTTAAGGTGTTTTTGCAATAAAATTAAATATTTCAAAGGAATTTTTCACTTCTTTTAATCTAGCTGCTTTGATAGTCCTAGGGAGGAGGGGGGCTAGCTATTTTTGCAATTACAACTAGAGGGGTCATGACATTTGTAATCTTATAGAGCAGGGTCAGGATATTTTGTTTAGTCTCACTGAAAATCTTGCCAGCCCATCCCCTTCCATAAATAATGAATGCTTCCTAAGCGATACGAGTTTTTCAGTGTTTTAGGTGCCACAACCCAAGAATATTTCGACAAACGACCTTGAATTGAGATTGGCGAAGGATTTGCCATTCATAAAACATGACAAAATGGTACGAAAGGCGAGTGACGTGTCAGCAACTGATTGGCTATATCAAACACACATGGAAAATGATCGTATTTTTTCACGTGTGATGTTACGGCTTTTCTCAGGGCTAGAAATCCTTGTATATCACTGCAGGTTATATGATAACACAAGGGAACATTAAGATACAAGCCCACAAATAAAAAATTACTGTACTCACGTCCCGACCCTCCCGAGGAAGCCATCTTGAAGAACGTGGAAAAGTAACTGACGGGGGATTCTGGGTAATATTATTCAATGAAAATTATACCGCTGACCAGTAACTCGATATTTTGACTTGGACTCGAGCTCGGATTTTACTCGGAAAACAGATCGACTTAGTATGTCATGACTCGAAAAATAAAGCTGTTTCCTTTCATGAATAGCACCTTAATTAACTTGTAGTGATAGGAGAAAAGTGACGGTTATGGTGAGTTGCATAGATAACTTTCTTTAGTCACGGCCTCGCATTTGCCGACCCAAATGGCTTGTGGAACTGGTCTGGTAAAAGTAACTGACTAACGACTCTCGCCCGTCCAATGAAACTATTTTATCGAGGCGAAACCATTATTTTACTTGCTCGATTATTTATCCGAGCGGTCTCCGTTGATGGTTTTGTGGGTCAGGTCGGTAACAACCAGCAAATTAGCAGGCAAAATACACTTGGTGATTGTCAAGGAAAACATAGACTTAACATTTCTCTCATCTTCTCGCCTGCCTGCTTTCAGGGAATACAGCTTCTTATCCTTTCCCCCATTTTCTCGTCCGCCTGCTTTTGTCAGGGATAACAGCTGCATAACATTTTTTCGATATTCTTGTGAGAACTATGAAAGATCTTGTGAGTGCTTCGCACACTATAACTCACTGATATTTACGAGGTTTACGTGTATTATTTTTCAGAGCTGAAATTTGAGTTTGATGCATTCATTATATACAGTTCAAAAGACTCAGAATGGGTGGTAAAAACCCTTCTTCCAACTCTTGAGGAAAAGCATGGGTTAAAGTGCTGTGTACACTACAGAGATTTCACTCCTGGAATACCCATCCGGCAAAATATGGTTGACAGCATTTACAAATGCAAGAAAACGGTGGCTGTTGTCTCTTCTAATTTCTTCAATAGTAACTACTGCGGATCTGAGCTAGATTACGCCCTCCACCGACTTATAGTAAAAATGATAACAGCCTAGTTGTTATCAAACTTGATGATGTTGACAGAAATAAATTGCCGAAGGAACTTCAAAACAGAAGCTACATAGACTATCCAAAGTCAATTGAAAAGGAAACATGGGAGAAAAAGTTGATAAAATGTTTGAAGGTCAATAGCTAAATAGAAAATTATGATTGACTGTTCATAAGCATCATAACGGCAAGCATTTTCAGTGTGTAATAAGAACAACAGGAGCATTTATTTGTATTGCAACTTGTAAAGTCAAAACTTGTAAGTTACCTGTTGAAATAATGTTCTTTGAATCTTTTCTGCAGCGGTAAAGTAAAATTTTGACCTTAACAACTAGGTTGTCTCTTCTTGCATGTCAGCATTACAACAGATAAGTCGGGTGAGACATATCTTCAAGGAAGATTCACGAATAACAATCATAAACGCGTTAGTCTTTTAAGTAGACTGTACTATTGTTCTTCGGTTTGGTCTAACACCACTGAAACAAACACTAGGAAGTTGCAAAGTGTTCTAAATTTTGCTGCCCACATAGTTAGCGATACTAAGATATACGACTACGTATCTTCATTGTTAACGAGACTGAGGTGGTTCCCAGTAAATACCAATTTATATTTTAGAGATACAGTTATGGTTTTAAATGTATGACGGGCATGGCTCAAGAGTATTCAGGCAACAAAATTATCTCTAGAGGTAACATAAGTGGACGGGCGAGTAGAACTTCGCAACAATTAAATATTCCATTATTGAAAACTAAAACAGGGCAGCGATCCTCTTTTTATAGAATTGTGGAATAATTTACCATCTGAAATAAAGCTGGGCCGATCTCTAAATAATTTTAAGCGCAATTTGAGAGAGAGCATCTTTTAAAAGACTCCTTACGATTAGCTATACTGTCATCCTTTTAGCTAGCCTTAGCTACTTATTTTTGTTTCGTTAACTCTTAACGTAAATTGTCACTGAAAAACCCTCATCGGGAGTTGTCAATGAAGTATTGTGTTGTACTATTGTATTGTACTATTGTAGTACTTTCTATCAACTTGACTTATCTTCCAAACTTCTTTTGGGAGAAAAGAAATTGAATTTCCCAATTCTGCAACCATCGGCGGATTCTCGATGACTGATAAGTAATCAGTTAGCTCACAACGTAGAGGGACCGGTGTGACCCTGGATTGCAAATACTAGCTGAGGCTAATGTTAGCCATAATGAAGTCTAATTTGGTTGTGGATACTAATCGAACTTATGCAAAAATTTCTCTTTGTGCCAATAGTAACTCGTTCTTTTTTCCTTTGCGTGCAGTTAACAAAGGTTTGCCCAATTTTGTTTTACCGTAAATCCTCTAATAATAAGCGACCCCCTCTAATAAGCCCCTCTAATAAGCCCCTCTAATAAGCCGCCCCCCCCCCCCAAATTTTAGAGGAAGAAATTTATTAAGCCCTCGCCCTCTCCTGGTACCTCTCGTTTGCATGTGGTGTTCGAGCTAGCTTACCCTAAAAGTCCAACAGTAAGTAGCTAGTTGGTCGAAAGAACTCTCAAGTTCAAAATTGAACTCGGGCAATATGTGACTATTAAGCAATGTTCCGCATATTTGAACTACTTCGCTAAAGATCCAGTCAAGGTGAAATACTTTCGGTATTTGTAAATGCGATAAGTGTATAGCTGGCTTGTTTAGGGGTAGATTTCTAGACTATAGCCTCCATTTGGCGCGAAAATATGCTCGGATATTTGTCCGCGGACATTATAGTTCCGATGGCGAAGCTCGAGGAAATCTCTATGCTCGAATGCGTTTATCATCCTTCAAATACTTTTGCGTGCGCAGGACAAAACTTTTATTAACAGTTTACCATTTTCGTTGGATATTCCATTTTCAGTGTTCTCTGGTACGACTTAACGACTTAAAAAAGTTCGGAATTATTTTTCTTCAGATTCCAGACGAACAAAAGCGAGTCACTACACTTTGTTGGGTTAAAGGGTGCGTCAAGACCTTAAGATTAACTTGTACCGCTTCCGCTTCTAATACTCTCTTTGACACGTTTGTACTCTGACTTCATCTATAATTTTCGCACGCATAAGCGGGAAGAAAAAAAACATAATACGCATTGCACTCAGTATAGCAGCTTTCTAGATAAAAACTCAGACCCACATCTATCAAAAGACCGGCTGTATAAAAATCAATCAGAAACCTTAGGTATTCATACTTTTATTACGCACAAGTAGCCAAAGGCAAGCACTATAATTGTTCTAGTTCATTAATTAAACACAGCTTTGACACGTTCCGCCTCTTCCTTGCTTTTTTCAAAAGCGTGCACGACCCGTATTCTTTTCTATACACCCGTTACATTTCGGGTAAAGAACACTTTCTGTTGTATCGAAGTCACACACGCACCTCTCAAATGACTGACATACTTTTTCTCTCTTATGATCTGGTAAACATGCAATGGCATTGTGTAAATGCGCGCAAGGATCGCATGTTCGTTTTGCCTTAGCTATGTCTGAAGAACCTTCGTCGCGTTCCTCGTTATCGCGTTCGTGGTGGATTTCGGGGTTGTAATCTATAACGTCGTCCCATGCTTTGGTTTTAATGCCACGTTCCGCCTCTACGGCTTTAGCTCTTCCGTAAATTTGTCTTCCTTTCGGGGTGCCGATAAACAGCAGCAGAAGGGCAAAGACTCTCAAATCCCTAGACTGAGAGGTAAAAAATGAAACACATAAAATAAGAATTAGGGATTTAACAACAAAAAGAAAGAGTTTAACTAAAGATTGTAATTGAAACCTTGGCAAGGTTTCCAAGCATGTCTGATCGATTCTGCACAGCGTCTTGTCAATTCCGAATGCGTAAGAGGAGTTTACCAATTTACGGCGAGTTCCAGCTTAGTGAATCTTCTGGATGTGACCGTTCAGGACCACAGGTACTCCATTTATACAATTTTACCGCAATTGATATTCAATGATTACGGAACAAAATAGCTTGAGCAGCCTACCTTAAGTTAAATTTAGATTTGCTCAAAACTGTCAACTGACGAATGAATAACATAAATTCATCTAAATAACCTCAAAGCGATTTAATCAAGCAGCTGGAGAAGACGTTTTTCCGGTAAAGATCTTCATTAATATTGATCTGTCTTGTCTTGTGGTGTAAATGTTGTATTTTAGGATATTTTCCCTGGACGAAAAAGGCGAACGTATTTCCATTTACGTTATTCGGTGCAGAATACAAAAATCACAACTATCGTCAAACTGTCAGTTATCTCACAGAATAGTCATTAAAATTCAATTTTCTTCAATGTCTCAAAAAATCCTTGTTCACACGACAAAAGAAAAAAATGTGTTCCTTTTTTGCGTTTAGGATGTGGTGATCTACTCGAATACCTTAGCAGCGATAGAACATTGAGAAAGGTCGAGACTCTAACGAACTCCTATTTATTTCGGCAAACACTAGTTCTGTGAAACCGGGAGTTAGTTTGTCTGACAGGCTAAAGTAAACTCATAAGACCAGTATATCGACTGACATCACGATGATAGTTTTGCTTAAAAATGCCTCTCAAAGGAAAAGGGAAAAAACTGTAACATGAAGGGCCATCACCAAAAAGGCGTAAACAAATAATAAATTGGAAATGTTTAATCGTTAAGCAAGATCAGTGAACCGGGGCGTGACTATCAGAATAATTTGATCTAAACGACTGGGGAAAATTGTTCATTGCAGAACTTTGAACGTTTTATCTAAAAGTCAGCAGTCTTATGGGAAGCAAAGTACCCAGTCACATGATAAAGAGATCTCAGCTACAACGTAATGGACGTAATTTGCATTATTTTATCTTTAACATTTTTGTCTCAGGTTAACGAGAAAATGCACAACATGTTTAAAGTATTTCCCTCGAGTACAATGCATCATGCATAATTTGGGTCTACTTTCCCAACGATGCATTCAGCAGGCGGACAGTCAGCACGGGTTGAATACGTTCCTACCTATCTTCGCAAACTGTTATGCTCTTAATTTTTCATGTATGAAGATGTATTCATAGAACTTGCAACTGTGTTGATGCATATTAGTATAAATTCACCCCTGGACTCCTCGCCTCTCTCTCCTGGCCAACACATTACGGATAGAAGTCTAGAGTCTAGAGTCTATAAGAACGTCCAGAACGAATGGGGGGGTCTTCCTTAGTTACCGAAGTGAAAAACTACTCGTTCAACAGTTGACGACCCAAGAATCAAATAACCTCTCGCGATTTCCCTCTCAGCCTGTTTAGTTAAAGCTGTTTGCATTTCCAACTTTTTGTGCACTATGAAAACGAAAATATTTAAAATAGCGGTGAAACTTCAAATCTACGGTCTTCTCAGTTTGTTTACTGTGCAAAGTGAGAAGTCTATCATTTCTTAGCAGCGGCTGAATTTCACTGTCTATTTTCAATTTTGCTGTTGTTGTTTTTTTTAATCTTTTCCTGCCTATCACCTTCAACTTCTTGGAAAAATAATTCCGAAAAATAATGACTTACATTTCTGCCCGCAGAGTTGTTCATCATGAGCATGCAGATAGCTGTGAAAACCGAAATCCCTAGAGTTTACGAGTTATCGATTATCACTCGTTAGTTGCCTTAGCTTTTTGGCTTGCTTGATAATTATAAATTCTTAATCATCGGTTGAATTGGTCAAAGTTGAGGTAACATGGCTTCGTGGCTCTGTGTGTTACGTCAAGTTAACGAGACCGGAAGTAAATGAATCAGTCATTTAGCACTAAACTGTACAGTTAGGAAGGAAGGACTAATGCGGCATTAAAAAAATGTACCTTTTCAATCAAAAAAAATATCAAGTGTGCTTGAGCGCTTCGCAAGTAGGGATCAGCTGTTTGAATGCTTTTTACTGGTAATTTTTATTTTGACAAGATATCTCTCTAAACAATGTGCCATACATATGTCAAGTTACTGCGATCATGTTGTATGATTTGTCTTCTTTAAAATTCTAGAAATCTTCCCTTTTCGCTAGGGAGGAATTTTAAAAAGGAAATTTAAACATAAATAAGCATCAAAACCTACATGTCAGCTAAACGCGGCTAGTTAACATCTTGCCACGCAATTCAAATTGAACAAAATGCTATTTCGAGTCTTTCTTCCGTATCAACCTACTTCTAACATCCTGTCACCTGCTTCATCATCGTATTCACGTAATTCATTGGACAACTTTATTATTAAAATAATCAATAAGAAAACGTTTATGCCTGAAACAAATAATATAAGCTACACTGAGTTTCGCAGTAGTGCAGCACTTTCTTTCTTGGCGGCAATACACAATCAACCTCCATTACCAAAAGGAGACAAAAAAAAAAATTGGCGCAAGTGTAGGTTTAGACTAATAGTGAAGCTAACGGCGCTTCTAATATTGCCTAATTGACACACCCACCACGGAAACGCGTACGGAGTGCACAGGTGGACGATGCGAAAAAATAGTAGAGAAAAGTAACTATCGGCTGAGAAAAGCTACACGTGCAATTCCAACAACAAAATCAATTTAGTCAATTTAAGCTTCTAACTAACACTCTAACAACAACAAAAAATCGAAAAAGAACTTTGTTAGCAGCAAACAGCCCTCTCAGAAATTTTATGCAAATGTCTTTGTTTAGTGTTGACGCAGAAATTGCTTAAACGAGCGAATGATGACAGCGAAACGTGTCTTCAGCGGGAGATTAGTTTCCCTGAGTCCCCATGTACAAACTTGATCCATTTCAACAAAAGACTTAGCGAAAATTTCGAAAAAAAAGACTCTTTTCCTTTTTGTTTCCCATGCAGTCGACGGGGAAAGTGTGTTTACACAATGCCGATTATGATTATGATGACAGGTCATTCCCACCTTTCGCAATTCAATGGCGTGCGAGAGGAGATTACATACAACTAACCCCATATATCCGGTGTAACTTGAGGCAAACCGTTTTTTCTTTTATCGCGTAGAACAAAGCAATTCATATTTCAATTAATCTTCTAATTTTCCCTTTTTCTTGTCTCTTATATAAGCTATCGAAACGAAATTTAAATTCCATATTCAAATTTTATTTATTTGCCAATTAACATGGCATCCTAGTAAAAAGTTTTTTTTCCCGGTAGACTAAAAGAAAAGGGGATTCATTCCATCTTTTCTGTTTTTGTTTGTTTCTTCTTCCATAGCACTAAAAGAGAAAAATTCATTTGGTTTTTATTTCAATACCTTTTCGAACGAAAGCGTCATCAAGCTCGATATGTTGAGTTACATTCGAACAAGTTTCAACGGTTACTTGACGATAGGCTCACCATCGGCAAGGAAATATAAAGATTAGATATTGAAAATCAAGTAGGATGAAGGCATCATTTTGACGGTTAATTGTTGACAGATGACCATCGGCAAGGAATAATAGAGATTAGATATTGAAGAGCCCTGGGATAAATACTTCATACCTGTCGAAGACTCACGGCCCTTTCTCTAAATTTTCAAAAATAAAGAATAGAGTGTGATGTCAAATTTTCTCATAGAGTAAGATGTCAAATTTTCTCATAGAGACTGCTTAGATATTGACTATCTTGTGGGATGAAGGCGTCATTTCGATGGTTAATCGTTGACAGTTTACCATCGGCAAGGAATTATAAAGATTAGATATTGTAGACCCTACAGGAAAAATACTTCATATCTGTCAAAAAGACTCATGCTCATAACCCTTTTTCTCTAAGAGACTGCCTGTCTTGACCTCATTTCGTGGTGATCATATAACCTTTCAACATTTTGTAAACTGAAGCCTCTTAAATTCTGATCTCGAGCTCGAGTTCAATGATAAGCCTTTCGTAGCTTGAGTACGTTTGTGTTCAATAAGGAGCCAGCGCACATACAGTGTCTCTGTATTATGTAGCCATTTCGGTTTATTATTCTCATTCTAACAAAACTTGTCTGTTCATGCGCTGATTGAGGACGTTTCCCTCTAATTTTGAAAAGTTTTTTCCGAGTAGTACAGTGTATGTGTCCCTAAATTAAAAAACATTTTCGTCTGATTTCAGATCGTTTCACATGATTTCCGTCTGTTTTAAGACGATTCCGACGGACCTCCGAAGTTTGTTAGATTTTGGACGATTCTTTCTGATAGCGGACAGCTCGCTCTTACTCCTGCACAATGGTGGTCTCCCAACCCCTTAATCCCAAGACTGACCAGCGTTTAATTTCTCCACACATTATCACGAGGATAAAGGCAATGATCACCAACTAAACAAGCTCTTGATTTTTAAACAAATTCTCCTCATCAGTTCCTTAAGGAATGTATAGGGAACAGCACGGAAAATACACATAGTGATGTTAGGGTGTAAAGAGTTCAAAAAAACATTCAATCAATTTTTCATTTCCCTATTCATTGGTGTAATTTTTCAATTTGGTTAAAGTTGAGGTAACATGGCTTCGCCACTCTTGATTTTACGTCAAGTTAATGAGACCGGAAGTAAATGAATCAGTCGTTTAACGCTGAATTTTACAGCTAGGAAGGAAGGAAGAGGAGGAGACACCGACTAATGGGGCATGAAAAAATGGTACTCTTTAATTAAAAATATATCAAGCGTGCTTGAGCGCTTCGAAAGTAGGGATCAGCTGTTTGAATGCTTTTTAATGGAAATTTTTGTTTTGGCAAGATATCTCTGTAAACAATGTGCCGGACATATGTCAAACTGCTGCGATCATGCAGAATAATTTTTCTTTTTTAAAATTGTAGAAATCTTAAAATTCTTAAAATTATAGAAATCTTGAAGAACTTCAAAAGGGAATATAAACGCAAATAAGCATCGAAACCTGCACGTCAGCTGAAGGCGGCTGGTTAACATCTTGCCGCGCAATTCAAATTGGAAAAATTGCTATTTCTAGTCTTGCTTCCGCTATTAACTTACTTACACCATCTTGTCACCTGCTTTATCATCGTATTCACGTAATTCATTGAACAGTTTTATCTTTAAAATAATCAATAAGAAAACCTTTATGCCTGGAACAAATAATATAAACCGCACTAAGTTTCGCGATAATGCAGCGCTTTCTTTCTTTGCAGCAATACACCATCAACCTCCATTACCAACAAGAGAATTGGCGTAAGTATAGCTTCACAGACTATGCCTACGCGGAAGTCGATGAGGAAAGTGTGTTTACCAAATGCCGATTATGATGACTACGATGACACGGAAAATTACAAAACAATTGGTCGATTGAGTATAAAAGTTTATAATGATAATAACCATAAAGACCAGTCATTTACAACCTTTCGCAAATCAATGGCGAACGAGAGGAGATTACGAACAACTAACTCCATGTAGCCAGTGTAACTATAGGCAAACCGGTTCTTCTTTTCAGTAGAGCGTGGAACAAAGAAATTCACATTTCAATTAATTTTCTAATATTCCCGTTTCTTCTTGTCTCTAATATAAGCTTTCGAAACAGAATTTAAATTCCATATTCAAAATTTATTTCTTTGCCATTGAAACGGCATCCTAATTAAGAGTTTTCTTTTTCGTGGTAGATTAATAGAAAAGGGGATTCATCCCATCTCTTCTGATTTTGTTGTTGTTGTTGTTGTTTCTTCTTCCATAGCACTAACGGGAGAAAATTTCATTCGGTTTCTCATTCAGCTTCTTTTCGAATGAAAGCGTTGTTAAGCTCGATGTGTTCACTTAGATTCAAGCAAGTTTCAACGGTTACTTAACGATCGCGGCTCATCATCGGCAAGGAAAAAAAGAATAGATATTGAAAACCACGTGGAATGAAGGCGTCATTTCGTTAGTTAATTGTTAATATTATAAACATTAGATATTGAAGACCCCATAGGATAAATACTTCATATCTTCATATTTTCAAAAATAAAGAATTGAGTGCGATGTCGAGTTTTTTCTTAGAGACTGCTTGTCTTGTCCTCATTTCGTAGTGATTATATAACCTTTCAACGCTTTGTAAACTGAAGCCTCTTACATTCTGATCTCGAGTCTCGAGTTCAATGGTAAGCTTTTCGTAGCTTGAGTGTGTTTGTGTTCAATAAGGAGCCGGTGCACATTAAGTGTCTCTATCTTACGTCGCCGTTTCGGTTCCTTATTCATTCTAACAAAGCTTGTCTGTTCATGCGCTGATTAAGGACGTTTCCCTCTAATTTTGAAAAGTTTTGTCCGAGTAGTACAGTGTAAGTGTCCCTAAATTTAGAAACTGTTTCGTCTAATTTCAGAAGATTTCACATGATTTCTGTCTGTTTTAAGATGATTCCGAGCGACCTTCGAAGGTTGTTGGATTTTGAAGGATTCGGTCTGATTTTCGACAGCTCGCACTAAATCCTGCACAAGGGTAGTCTCGTAACCCTTGAAAGGGAAAGTAAGGTCCAGAAAAAGTTTACTTATATCAAAAGTTCCCTGCTTGTATTGTACTAACTGGCTATTCATTTGAGCTAAAAGCGTTTTAGTTGTGAACAGTTACGTTCCAAAAATCGATATTTTCAAATTGAAATCCGCCATCTTTGTTATGAAGAAACTTTGACTTAGCAATAGTCAAGCATGCTAATTTATATCCCTGCTGAGATGGGTGTAAATAAAGAAGACAGCAGTGAGGAGGGCGCTACTGACTAAATTCTTGACCTGGATTTTAATCTAGCTGAGAGGGTGTAATAAATCCATTTATGTTTCAAACGAAACATACACACAAAGAGAGAGAAAGTCAGGAAAATGAGTTTCAAGAAGTTGCTCACGTCTTGGAAA